AGGGTGGGTGACAGAGGCAGAGCCCCATGGGTGGGGCCCAGGAGCTCACACTGGAGTAGCCGCCTTGCACAGAGGATCTGCTGCAGGAGGGTTGAGAAGCTGTCAGGAGACTCCCGATGCATCCCCCGAAGCACACAGCCAGGATGACATAGGCCTTATCGCACCAGCTTGGGCGAAAGAGTGTCTCAGCCCCCTGCAGCCGGGCCCTTCCCAACCCCATCCCCTCCTCGCCTCTCCCCCAGCCCCCCAAAGCCACCCTACCCGGGATCCCCACAGCACTGACCAGCTTTGAGCCCCATCCAGGAACTTCTTGAGGTGCAGCTGGCAGCCGGCAGAGGGCGGGGTGGGGGGCACTGCTCTCCCGGAGGCAGATGGTCGGACAGCAGGCAGACAACGCCAGCGGGATGGCGTAGACACCGAGCTGGGGAGGGGTGTGGTGTGCGCCAGGGAGACCCACGCAACTGGCGCCCACACACGCTGCGCCCTGCTGCCCCAGGTGCACCTGCTCAAGCTCCTCCGTCCCCACCACGGCTGCTCCCAACCCCTGGATCTGCCAGCCACCCTCCTGCGAGGCCCCAGGCGGGAAGGGCCTGCTTTGACTTCATCCTCCGCCTGCTCCGGCGGAAGAGTAGAGACCTGCATGTATACAACACAAAACCTCACACAAGTGACACCCTTCCTGGCTGACGTTAGCCAGCTGAGTGCACACTGCGGCCGAGGGGAAGGCCTCCTAGAGGAGGTGAGACTGGCTCATCCCTGAGGGAGGTCAAAGTGGAGCCGGTCACCAGGGCTCACTATAGGAGGGAGGAGGGCGTCCACGCGTGGGCCCCGAGGAGGCTGTGTCACTCAAGGTCAACTTCCATGAGTCCACCGAGCTCCAGGCCACACCCTCCGGCAGAGCAGCCAGACACAGGCTCCGCCCGGACGAGGTCTGACTCAGCCCACGGGACAGGACAGGGAGCTTGGGCAATAGCCACCTTGTCTTCCTTTTTCCGCAGGACAGGGCCAGGGGCAGATCTCCCAGGCACAGAACGAGCTCCCCAAGCCCAGCTGATGGCTGCCTGGCCGAGCCCACAGAGAGAAAGCCAGGCGTCCACTGACAAAGCCTGCCCTGCAGAGCCAAGCCCACCGCTCCAACCTCAGCCCTGTCCTGCTTCCTCGGGGGCCTGAGTGAGGCCCACAGCTGACTCACTGAGCAGAGATGCGTCTGAAGCGTGCGGGGCAACGTGGGAGGACGATCTGTCCAACTCCCTTCCTCCTCTCCCAGCCTCGACCCTGCCCTCGCTCGCCCCCTTGGGTCCTTTGAGTCTCATCCAGAGCACTGGGCTTGGCTGCCTTCTAGGTGGGTGTTGACCCAAGCTCTGCTCCGCCCGCCCCTTACGCTGCCTGCTGGAACCTGGGAGACTTGGTCACTGGCTGCAGATGAGGAACTCCAGCCTCAAGGGCACTTGGCTGGAGTGAACGTGGTGCTCGCGGCTCACTGTGGTGACCCAGGCAGAGACCATGACGACTCTTGGTGTCAGGGTGAGATTTCTGTGTGCTCCATGATGACTTGTGGGTATTGCTACAACGGTGAAGAACTGCAGTAGGAGGCCCTTGACTGTCCAAGGAATGCCCCACACCCAGGACACCTACTGACCATCGAACCAGCCCACACCCTCAGACGCTTCACCCAAAGTCAGTTATGGCTCCCCCAGTGCCTGGACACGGTGGGCCAGGACACCAAGCCACGGCAGTGAGTTACGTACGGCGTGTGCCAGCATCTGTGGGCAGCAGGCAGCCCCCAGGCCCATCCAGCAGATCCCAGGCCTGTCTCGTCCGGGAGCTGGTTCTCCATACCCAGCCAGCAAAGGAGGAGGGGAGAGGCCCCGGGGTCCACCTGGAAGAACCCTGACCCAGGCCTAAGAGTGGCTCCTGCTCCTGACCCTGAGCTTCCTGACCATCCCCATGACCTGGCGCCTCCCTAAGCTGTGGGTCCTGCTGCCAACTCTAGCTGTTCATTGCACATTGCCCAGATACTGCCCAACCAGTTCCTGAGGCTCCCTGGAATGGTTGATGAGGGCGCACAGGGCAGGAAAGGCTGCAGTGTGCAGCACGGGAAGGGAGTGGGGGCAGGATGGAGCCCAGCCCAGCCCAGGAGCCGCCCCTCACTCAGAGTCAGGTGGAGGAGAGTGCGGCTCCAAGCCCACCTCTGCTCTGTGCCTGCTGTCCTGGGGCTGGGAGGCGTGGAGGGAGGGAGGGCCACTGCAGGGCCACCTGTATGTGACTGGCTGGGGAAGAGGGACCAGGCCACTGGCTGGAGCCACTGAAGGCTGGGAAGGGCTGGGACTCCATGACTGGCAGATCCCCCTGGGCACCTAGCCCTCCTGCTCTGTGCCCTGGGCCCCGACACCTCCAGGACAGACAGTGCCCCCAGTGCCCACATCCCCTAGCCGCCCCCAGAAGGCACCCCCTGGCCCCGGCCCCAGCCAGCACCTGGCACCTCGGGCTGTGGCCACAGGAAAATGAAACCCAGCTGGTCCGAAGGGACCGAGGGTCCCGGAGCCCCCTGTCCCTGTCCCCGC